GGGGGGGTGACAACTTGCCAACTGCACTATGTCGCCACACCTTAATTATTAGTTCTTCTAAATTATATCTTTTACAATAAATTTTTAAATATTTATAATAATATAATTAAAAATATTTACCTTATATATTTTTTAGAATTTAAATCTTATTACTTAATTATAATTTACTATAAATATAAAATATTTTTAACTATATAAATAAATAAATTTTTAAATAAAATAATATTTAAAAATATTATTTTAATATATATAATTTAAAAATTAATAATTAATAAAATAAAATATAAATTAAAATAATTATGACTTAAATTAAAAATATTTACTTATATATTTTTTAAAATTTAGATCTTATTTGTTATTATAATTTAAATTTAAAATATTTTTAATTAATATAAATATATTTAAAAAAAATAATAATATTTTATAATTTAAATTAAAATATTTTACCTTAGTTATTTTTTAAGATTTAAATCTTATTATTTAATTATAGCTTAAATTTAAATATTTTTAATTAATATAAATAAATATATAACTAAATATAGTTAAAAAATTAAATTAAAAATATTTACCTTAATTATTGCTTAAAATTTTAATCTTATTACTTTTTTATAACTTAAATCTAAAATATTTTTAATTGATAAAAATATATTTAACTAAAATAATATTTTATAATTTAAATTAAAAATATTTACTGTACCTTAGTTATTTTTTAAAATTTAAATTATATTGCTTAATTGTAACTTAAATTTAAAATATTTTAATTAATACAAATAAAATATATTAAATATAGTTTCAAAAGCTAATAATTAATATAATAAAATATAATTTATAATATTTTTAATATAAATTAAAAATATTTACCTTAATTATTACTCAAAATTTAAATCTTATTACTTAATTATAATTTAAACTTAAAATATTTTTAATTAATATAAATATATTTAAATAAAATAATAATATTTTATAATTTAAATTAAAAATATTTACCTTAATTATATTTAAAATTTAAATCTTATTGCTTAATTTTAAATTATACTTAATTAATATAAATAAATACATATTTAAATATAGTGTAAAAATTAATAATTAATATAATAAATTATAAATATAATATTTTATAATTTAAATTAAAAATATTTACCTTAATTATTTTTTAAAATTTATATCTTATTGCTTAATTATAATTTAAGCTTAAAATAATTTTATTAATATAAATAAATATATATTTAAATAAAATAATTTAAAAATAATATTTTTATAATATATAAAATAATTTAAATTAAAAACATTTACCTTATATATTTCTTAAAAATTAATTTTATTCTAGTTGTAATTTTTTATTTTTTCATATAAACAATTAAATGATTTAATTTCTAATTGAGATATTTCTATATTTTCAGGTGGATTTTTTAAAAATTTTAAGATTTTATCAAAAGCTTCAAATATTTCTTGAAAAGAAATATTTAAAGAGCTTTCATAATCATGAATTGTTGAATTATCATCATCCTCTTGAATCATCAACAAATCATTATTTAAAGGTTCGAAATTTTGTTTTTTTTGATTACTTTCATTTAACAATGATATTCTTTCTATAATATCATTATCTAGCATTTCTTTATAATCTACATCCTTATCTTGACTAAATTTAATTAATATAAATAATTATTAGATTAATTTATATTTATATATATTTATTATAATAATATTTAATAATAAAAAACTCTTTCTGTCTATCACTTGTACACAAAATTTCGCCCAAAAATCTTTTACGTTTTTCTTAATTTACGGAAACTTTTACTAAGTTAATAACCTTTTGGTCCTTAAACAAACTTGTTCAGCTACTAATTTTACATATACCCATAAAGTTTCAAGTCTCTATCTATCGTCAGTCCCAAGATATTCGACTTTCAAAGTCAGACGGACAAAAGTCTGTTC